GGCCAGATACCTCTCAATAGTCAGGGCCAGTACCGCTAAGACTGAGGCACTGATGGCGAAGATTTCCAGGAAGTGTAACGCCTCGCAGAACCGGTCAGGCGCGGTCCAGGTGCTGCCGATTGACATGCCAATGAACTGCGGTACGACGCGCAAGGGTATAACAACAAGACCAACGAAGAGGTCGGCCACAGTCAGTGAGACCAGAAAGATGCGGCTGCTTCTCTTCAGTTCCTTTGCCTTGATGATTACAAACAAAAGAAGCCCATTTCCTACGACTATCAGAACCATCAGCATAGCATACAGTACGATACAAGTGATCTTCTCTCCCGTAGATAACTCTGAGTTGCTGCTTGTAGTTGTCGAGCCGCTGAAATTTCCCGGTTCTTCCATTTTCACTTTCCACTGGCACCTTTCTGACTGACAACAACATACACTCAGTTACATGCGTTCAAAGAACCTCACACTCGAATATAACGATCGAGTAGGCGTACTGTTCATCTCAAACAAGACCGCCCACAACCAGTAGGCTTATTCTGCACTCACTGAAGTACGCTGTTTCTAAACATGGCTTCCACAATTGAATGAAACGAATGCTGTTAGCGGCTGATTTAATGCGTATACCCTATCTGTTCGCCGTTGTTGACGGGTAACTGTCTAACCTAACACAACCACCGTTCTGTCAACGTTAAGTCATATGAAAAAAACCCAGAAATAATGCCAGTCCTATAAAAGACCAGGATCAATCATTGTCATTCATTTAAAACACGCGTCTCTAATGGCTTTGGTATTTTCTTTGATTAAGGACCTTTCTTGTTCCGTTTAGGTTAAAATGAAAACCTACGTCACTATTCTATTAAAATTGCTCTTGCATATAACGATCGATCGCAGCAGGCAGGCTCAAGTGAGCGTATCAAAACAGTAAATATTACTTAATATGTCAACGCTAATTAACTTGAAGGCATCCCTGCCTGATGCATTATCACGGTTAATTTGCTGGTAATCCTTAACGTCGGAAGCTGAGACATAATGTACACACGATGCCCGGACGCCAATACTTGGGGAAAACGGCTCAGTTAGGAAATGTGTAAATAACAAATTCCTGAAACACTGTGTCGTATCGAAACTAGACTTGGTGATAAGTCGCTAATTGTTTTGCGTACGGTACCGGTTACTGGCTCCACGCACGCAAAATATCGCTGCAATGCGCGTAGTCTGGTTCCCTGACCACATGATGCTGACTTATTCTGATAAAATTACCGACTTGGCGAATATGTTTTTAATTTTGTACACATCATATTGGAGTATTTTGAATCGCTAGCGAATTCCACGAGAGCACTCTGATTGGTTCGGATTCCAGAGTGTATTCTAGGCCGCCACGGAAGATCATTCTTATTACTTCGAGGGTTTGTACTTTGTGATGTGTAACATTACAATTATATTCATTATAGGGCATACACGACTCAACTAAATCAAGAGTATCACAGTGATACATTTTATTTCCATACACAATTAACCAAGCTGAGTGTATTGGTTGTTAAAACGTCGCCAGATCTGCAAACATTTCCATGACGTATTGAGAAGAACTCCCCATGTAATGGAATAAATGAGTCCTCATTTGCATAGCGGTGCGCGATTGGATCTCTCCACAAAAATACACTGCATATGTATTGCGCTGCTTGCATATATGAATAACGGTGCAAAAACATAATCGTCAAGTCGTTAGATTTGTCGCAACCCGGCCGATTACGTACTAGTCCTATACAGATTCAACCCTGCAAATAAATTCCCATAGACACTAGTGATAAATGCCCATACTCAGAAAATACTCAGAAAATACTCAGAACTCTCACAGGTAGTCAAGCTGCACAGAAAAATGATGATCAACATGTCATCTTTCGTTTTCTTTTCATTTTTTGGTGGGTTGAGCATTGACTTTGCGAGATTTTCTCACCCAAAGAAGACGACCCCTATTTTCCTCAAAGCGGAAAAGTAGCCTTCTTGAAAAACGATCCCTCAACAACATGGCAAAATCGCGCCACTTTCGAGCCCAATGGCATCCAAAATGCTCAGAATTGGAAGCCCCAAGTCCGGGTCAGAGGTTCATTACCATATCTCTTCAATTCCCCAATTTTACGGAGCTCAAAACTCTCTGATATAGAATTTTCTGAGGGTATAACTTTTATTCATAAGCTCGGCGGACGGATTGAGGCCTATTTACCGTTATGCACCCATACCAGCCGTGCCGATGGAGTTAGCCTTGGTCAAGGCGTTCGTCATTATTCGTCCGTATGCGGTGAACGATCGGCGGCATATCCTCGCTCGCGCTATGCAGTTCATTGAAAATACAGCGGGAACAACGACCTCATGCCACTGTTTCATGCAAATCATTTGGATCCAGACGAACGCCTGGGTCCAATCGTATGCGAGAGATTTTGTGGGTGGTGCTCATTATGCTAATAAGCTGACCTTAGAAGTTGTTTTTTTTTATTGGTCCGTCGTTGCTCAGAAAATTGCATATAGTTATACAAAATATCTTGTCGTTTGTGTATTTTATTCATTCTTTGCACGTTTTTAACTTGAAAATATTTAAATTGTATTCTATTCATGGCCCATGAATTCGCAACACTTATGTTTAGTCTCTCTTCACCATAAAATACAGAGAATAAATCAGTAAAATGCCAGTCAGGCAGAATCCTGGTGTCCTTATTGACCCCATGAACAACCAGGGTCACACATGTAATAATGGACCAATTAATAACAATTTGAAACAAAGTATTGACTATTCTGAAATCTTATTCTGTTTAAAGGTAGAGTCCATCATTTGCAGCCATCCGAAAAGTAACTGGCGTAATTATTGTTGAAAAACTAACTTGGTTGAAAGATAGTAAGGAGACTAAACTCCCTGTGAAATTATTCTTTCTGGGAAGCTGTCATTTTGAAGTAATCAACGAAAGAAGGCATTTCCAACGGTGATTCTTAAGAAGCACCGTAGGAAAATTTAAATTAGTAGTTCGTTTTGTTATTCAGCGCAGCGCGCACAAGTATTCGAACGACGCACACGCGCGCGCGGTTGTTATAATTCGTCGGATCAGTGCGCGACGTCGCGTATAGTTGCAATTCAAAACAATTCAAAAACATGATTCAGCAACTTTTGATTTGAAATTGAGATCTTAGAATGCTGTTTTTCTCAGAATGTACAGCTGAAGCTTAGCTGAAACTTCATCAGGTTAGTTGCTCAGTATCCTTCATTAGATTTTGAACTCTTTTGTTGCTTCAAACGAACAAAATGCACAAATTACAAATGATGGACTCTACCTTTGACACATGTAAATAAACAGCTACTGTTATCATCACCAACGCACTATTACCACTCTGATCTAGGAATGTGTTTCAATTCTAAACGTTTACCACTTTTTAATGTTGTGAAACTAAACGTGTTTACGTTTTGGACATGTGCTTAGGATTGTATATCTAAATGCGCTTAGGAAGGTGTTTAAATGCTAAACATATTATTCATTGAACATGTCAAACGGATAATGCGTGTCACAGAAAAAGGACATCTAAACATGTCATGATGCTAAACGTGTGGAAAAAGTGGGTACAGAATAAGTGTTTAAATCCTAAGCACCATTTTTACAGTGTAAACGCTCACTGCAAAAGCCCAGGCATTGGAGATGTTTAAGTACTTTTACAGATTTAAAAATTGAAGTAAAGAAGTATTTTCAAAAATGCAAGTTAGATTTGAAAAAATCCAAATTGTCCAAATGTTCATAGAGTACTTTCCTCTTAATCTGGGTAACCTCTCTTTCAAAAGCTGCGTGGACGGGCTGGTCTAAAAGTCTCCCTATTCATGGTTTGACGTTCTGCTCATCTCCTCGCTGTCCATCGTTGTCTTCTTCATCCTGAACGGGAACATCTTCTGGTCATCCGTAGTTCCCGTAAGGTGACATGCATTTTTCACAGTGTCCCTGATCAATGCAGTCCTGTGCGGGGGGGGGGGGGGGGGGTGTTTAGCAAGCGGGTCCCTCCTGGCCACGGTAGCCGTGGGACATTTGGTCCGACCACATTGCAGAGGGGCTCTGTCAGGCCTATTTCATGGGCGATTTTCTTTCAAACGATGTGTCCTTCATGCTACTGCTGACTCTGATCTGTCGCTGCTACATTATCATGGCGCAGCTCTTTCGGTGCCCGTCTCTGTTAACCGCGCATTGGGCGTAGGCCCTATAACATTGTCTAGTCCTTCTGGATTCTGACGGTCAGTGTTACCTTCGCTTAGGGTGTCTATGCTATTTCGGAACTCTGCCGCACCACCAATCAGAGTGGCATAGGTGCCTTGAGGGAATCAATACTTCCAAAATAGAACCTTATTCTGCTGTTGTCAGTTTGCAAATGTGACTGTGGTGTTGCCTTTGACAGCGACATTTGCCTTGATAGTATATCCGACTGATTGATTGAACATCGTCACGGGCACGCCTCGCCCAAATCACTCCGCCTGCATGGCAACTGAACCCGTCCCAACAACGCTCCAATGATCTATAAGTGACTGGTCAGCAGCGTGGTTTCGATGAATCTCTGCCTCTGAGCGTGCCCACAGTGAGCTCCTACTGGAATTGTGAATGATCTTTGTGTGCCATCAGTGCCGCCATTATATTCAGGTCCTGTAGCAGCCTTCCAAACGTAGCCTACTTGGCCACACGCCAGACGCCATGGGAGATCCGATCAACGGTAGCTCTCGTTTTGGAGCTATGTAACAGCAGAATGCTACAGCTAGTGAAGCCAACACACGAATGAGTTGCATAGCTCATATCAATACTTAACCAAGTGTCATGGTCTACATGATCATGTTCTGGAATGATCCATGATTGAAGAACAACATGCTGCTACTTGTTGAGGTTAAAAACTAAACGTTTGTACGTTTCAAACATAATCGAGTCAGCGCGCTGACAACACCTAAATAGGCCCTATCTTCTCGCTCCATAGCAAGGAAAGGCTGTTGTACATTACAAGTGCGTATCTTGAGTGGAGGAACTGACATTCATGTTGTCAGATTGCGATCTAATTGGGTCTCGTTTAACAGTACTGCGTCTCACAGGGAGTAGTACGCATAGAAGGTGCTTGACCGACCCCCTGAACGCCCTGTTTCGTCTGGTGTACACGATGACATTGATGAAACAGCTGGTGAACAATGACCAGTTGGCAAGTTCAACAATGAATCGTTCAACATTATGGGAGGAAAGCTTCATGTACAACATACAAACAACAAACGGAACACTGGAGGCTGCATAGGAAAGTGTGAGAATGAGAACGGTGACCAAGGCTTTCTTATTGCGAAGGAAACACTTGCAAAGTCCGCGGCAAAGTCCATTACACAACCAAGGGGACAAAGTTTTGGCCACGCCCGCTACTGCGGTCTGTCTGCATGTGCAATGGCAGTGGGATGGACCAGGAGCGTGCTTCTGGTACGCGGTGTGATTCTTCACGATGTACAGAATGCGAATCGAAGCGAGGAAAGTGACGCATAGTGGTATGAGGAAATACACAATGATGAAGTCCACAAACATGAAAAGAGCCACCCCACTTAGTCTGTTGATGACACACAGTGACGATGAGCCGTCAAAGACTACGAATCGACCCTCGCTTACCACCGATAGAATAATGAGGACGGACGCCGTACATAAGCTCATGAGCCAGGAGCAAGCAACCACGATGCACGCCCGACGAGAAGTCAGCATGGAGCGGAACCTCAGCGGCATCTCCACGGCCAGATACCTCTCAATAGTCAGGGCCAGTACCGCTAAGACTGAGGCGCTGATGGCGAAGATTTCCAGGAATTGTAACGCCTCGCAGAACCGGTCAGGCGCGGTCCAACTGCTGCCGATTGACATGCCAATGAACTGCGGTACGACGCCCAAGGGTATAACAACAAGACCAACGAAGAGGTCGGCCACAGTCAGTGAGACCAGAAAGATGCGGCTGCTTCTCTTCAGTTCCTTTGCCTTGATGATTACAAACAAAAGTAGCCCATTTCCTACGACTATCAGACCCATCAGTATAGCGTACAGTACGATACAAGTGATCTTCTCTCCAGTAGATAACTCTGAGTTGCCGCTTGTAGTTGTCGACCCGCTGAAATTTCCCGGTTCTTCCATTTTTTCACTTTCCACTGTCACCTTTCTGACTGATAACGACATACGCTCAGTTATGCGAGCCCTCAAATTAGAATCCCTCCCCGGACCGTTCGGGGTTGAGCCCGCCCAGTATGTTGAAGGGATTGGGATCTTGCATGGAACTGATCGGCCTGGATTAACTCCACCAGGCTTCTGCACCATGGCTCTGTCTCATCACAAAGGAATCAATTTGCGACGCGCTAATCCTCCAGTAGGCAACAATGACTGTTTTGAGCTTCATAGAAGTTGCCGCTGGGCTGAATAATCCTCCAACAATGGCCAGACTTCAATTTATGTTGCCTATTGTGAAACCCTGATTCACCAGTTTGGACGGATTGGGGCGTCACGCTTCAGTGACCGGGTGGCTTCTGGCTTCGTACCGATTGGGGTGAAAGAAATTAGCATACCGGACCCGGTACCCGAACGGTCTGTTATCTGATGGCTCGCCTTACATGCGTTCAAAGAACCTCACACTCGAATATAACGATAGAGTAGGCTTCTGTTCATCTCAAACAAGACCGCCAACTACAGTAGGCTTATTCTGCACTCGACTGAAGTACGCTGTTTCTAAAGCATGGCTTGCACACTTGAATGAAACGAATACTGTTAGCGGCTGATTTAATGCGTATACCCTATCTGTTCGCCGTTGTTGACGGGTAACTGTCTAACCTAACACAACCACCGTTCTGTCATCGTAAAGTCATATTAAAAAAACCCAGAAATAATGCCAGTCCTATACAAGACCAGGATCAATCACTGTCATTCATTTACAACACGCGTCTCTTATGGCTTTGGTATTTTCTTTGATTAAGGACCTTTCTTGTTCCGTTTAGGTTAAAATAAAAACCTACGTCACTATTCTATTAAAAATTGCTCTTGCATATTACGATCGATCGCAGCAGGCGGGCTCAAATTTTGAGCAAAACAGCAATTATTACTTAATATGTCAACGCTAATTAACTTGAAGGCATCCCTGCCTGATGCATTATCACGGTTAATTTGCTCGTAATCCTTAACGTCGGAAGCTGAGACATATGTACACACGATGCCCGGACGCCAATACTTGGGGAAAACGGCTCAGTTAGGAAATGTGTAAATAACAAATTCCTGAAACACTGTGTCGTATCGAAACTAGACTTGGTGGTAAGTCGCTAATTGTTATTCGTACGGTACCGGTTTCTGGCTCCACGCACGCAAAATATCGCTGCAATGCGCGTAGTCTGGTTCCCAGACCAAATGATGCTGACCATTTCTGATAAAATTACCGACTTGGCGAATACGTTTTCAATTTTGTACACAGCATATTGGAGTATTTTGAATCGCTAGCGAATTCCATGAGAGCACTCTGATTGGTTCGGATTCCAGAGTGTATACAAGGCCGCCACGGAAGATCTGTCTCATTACTTCGAGGGTTTGTACTTTGTGATGTGTAACATTACAATTATATTCATTATAGGGCATACACGACTCAACTAAATCAAGAGTATCACAGTGATACATTTTATTTCCATACACAATTAACCAAGCTGAGTGTATTGGTTGTTAAAACGTCGCCAGATCTGCAAACATTTCCATGACGTATTGAGAAGAACTCCCCATGTAATGGAAAAATGAGTCCTCATTTGCATAGCGGTGCGCGATTGGATCTCTCCGCAAAAATACACTGCATATGTATTGCGCTGCTTGCATATATGAATAACGGTGCGAGAACATAATCGTCAAGTCGTTAGATTTGTCGCAACCCGGCCGATCCCTGCAAATAAATTCCCATAGACACTAATGCTAAATGCCCATACTTAAAAATTCTTTTAAAAATACTCAGAACTCTCACAGGTAGTCAAGCTGCACAGAAAAATGATGATCAACATGTCATCTTTCGTTTTCTTTTCATTTTTTGGTGGGTTGAGCATTGACTTTGCGATATGTTCTCACCCAAAGAAGACGACCCCTATTTTCCCCAAAGCGGAAAACCAGCCATCTTGAAAAACGATCCCTCCACAACATGGCAAAATAGCGCCACTTTCGAGCCCAATAGCATCCAAAATGCTCAGAATTGGAAGCCCCAAGTCCGGGCCAGAGGTTCATTACCATATCTCTTCAATTCCCCAATTTTACGGAGTTCAGAACTCTCTGATATAGAATATTTTGAGGGTATAACTTTCATTCATGAGCTCGGCGGACATCATCATGTACATGTAGTCAGAATTGGAAGCCCCAAGTCCGGGCCAGAGGTTCATTACCATATCTCTTCAATTCCCCAATATTACGGAGCTCAGAACTCTCTGATATAGAATATTTTGAGGGTATAACTTTCATTCATGAGCTCGGCGGACATCATCATGTACATGTAGTCAGAATTGGAAGCCCCAAGTCCGGGTCAGAGGTTCATTACCATATCTCTTCAATTCCCCAATATTACGGAGCTCAGAACTCTCTGATATAGAATATTTTGAGGGTATAACTTTCATTCATGAGCTCGGCGGACGGATTTATGCCTATTTACCGGTGTGCACCCTATAATAGCAGGCACCATTTAAATTTTAACACAAAACCACATTCAGAAGAAGAATATCTCCAAAGTCAATATTTTGAAGAAAAAAAATTGATAGAAAAACATTATCCGAGGTCGATATTAGGCCCGAAAATAGTAACTTTTTTGCCCCTGCTAAGCTGTAGAGCGCCCCCAACGACAATAAATTGGGTTTCAGCTACTTTGAAGCTCAAAATACCCCTCCCCTTTTCTCAACTATGCTGAAATCGGCTGATAGCCTACTGCTCCCTTAGGATTTGGGAGCATCCGTTTACGGAAAAACCCTTGTTGGTACCTTTAAAACACCTTTTTGCCCCTCTCCCGTGGGTTCCGCCCACTGAAAAACCACTGCCGCGGCACAGCGCATGCGCGTAACGGCCAACTTTGTTATTCTATAAAGGATGCAACCCTGCAAATAAATTCCCATAGATACTAGTGCTAAATGCCCATACTTCAAAATTCTTTTAAAAATACTCAGAACTCTCACAGGTATTCAAGCTGCACAGAGAAATGATGATCAACATGTCATCTTTCGTTTTCTTTTCATTTTTTGGTGGGTTGACCATTGACTTTTCGAGATATTCTCACCCAAAGAAGACGACCCCTATTTTCCCCAACGCGGAAAATAGCCATCTTGAAAAACGATCTCTCCACAACATGGCAAAATAGCGCCACTTTCGAGCCCAATAGCATCCAAAATGCTCAGAATTGGAAGCCCCAAGTCCGGGCCAGAGGTTCATTACCATATCTTTTCAATTCCCCAATTTTACGGAGTTCAGAACTCTCTGATATAGAATATTTTTAGGGTATAACTTTCATTCATGAGCTCGCGGACGGATATAGGCCTATTTACTGTTGTGCACCCATACCAGCCGCGCCGATGGAGTTAGCCTTGGTCAAGGCGTTCGTCATATATTCGTCCGTATGCGGTAAACGATCGGCGGCATATCCTCGCTCTCGCTATGCAGTTCATTAAAATACAGCGGGAACAGCGACCTCATGCCACTGTTTTATGCAAATCATTTGGATCCAGACGAATGCCTTGGTCCAATCGTATGCAAGAGGTTTTGTGGGTGGTGCTCATTATGCTAATAAGTTGACCTTAGAAGTCGTTTTTTTATTGGTCCATCGTTGCGTAGTTATACAAAATATCTTGGCGTTGTGTATGCACGTTTTTAACTTGAAAATATTTAAATTGTATTCTATTCATGGCCCATGAATTCGCACCAATTATGTTTAAATTAGTCTCTCTTCGCCATAAAAGACAGAGAATATATCAGTAAAATGCCAGTCAGGCAGAATCCTGGTGTCCTTATTGACCTCATGAACAACCAGGGTCACATATGTAATAATGGACCAATTAATAACAATTAGAAACAACGTATTGACTATTCTGAAATCTTATTCTGTTTATTAACACATGTAAATAAACAGCTACTGTTATCATCACCAACGCACTATTACCACTCTGATCTAGGAATGTGTTTCAATTCTAAACGTATATCACTTTTTAATGTTGTGAAACTAAACGTGTTTACGTTTTGGACATGTGCTTAGGATTGTATATCTAAATGCGCTTAGGAAGGTGTTTAAATGCTAAACATATTATTCATTGAACATGTCAAACGGATAATGCATGTCACAGAAAAAGGACATCTAAACATGTCATGATGCTAAACGTGTGGAAAAAGTGGGTACAGAATAAGTGTTTAGAAATGTGTTTAAATCCTAAGCACCATTTTTACAGTGATAAACGCTCACTGCAAAAGCCCAGGCATTGGAGATGTTTAAGTACTTTTACAGATTTAAAACTTGAAGTAAAGAAGTATTTTTAAAAATGCAAGTTAGATTTGAGAAAATCCAAATTGTCCAAATGTTCATAGAGTACTTTCCTCTTAATCTGGGTAACCTCTCTTTCAAAAGCTGCGTGGACGGGCTGGTCTAAAAGTCTCCCTATTCATGGTTTGACGTTCTGCTCATCTCCTCGCTGTCCATCGTTGTCTTCTACATCTTGAAGGGGAACATCTTCTGGTCATCCGTAGTTCCCGTAAGGTGACATGCATTTTTCACAGTGTCCCTGATCAATGCAGTCCTGTGCGGGGGGGGGGGGGGGGGGGTGTTTAGCAAGCGGGTCCCTCCTGGCCACGGTAGCCGTGGGACATTTGGTCTGACCACATTGCAAAGGGGCTCTGTCAGGCCTATTTCATGAGCGATTTTCTTACAAACGATGTGTCCTTCATGCTACTGCTGACTCTGATCTGTCGCTGCTACATTATCATGGCTCAGCCCTTTCGGTGCCCGTCTCTGTTAACCGCGAATTGGGCGTAGGCCCTATAACATCGTCTAGTCCTTCTGGATACTGACGGTCAGTGTTACCTTCGCTTAGGGTGTCTATGCTATTTCGGAACCCTGCCGCACCACCAATCAGAGTGGCATAGGTGCCTTGCGGGAA